TGGATGTGACGGAGAAATCAATGGGGGGTGGTGTCCGGGCTGGGGGGAAGACAAGAAACTCGGTTTTGGAGAGGTTCAATTTAAGGAAGTGGAGCGACATCCAGTCTGATATGTCGCTCAGTAGGTGTGTGATTCGGGCTGAGACCAAGGGGGTGAGGTGGGGGGTTGAGAGATAGATTTGTGTGTCGTCGGCATAGAGGTGGTAGTTGAAGCCGTGAGAGTGTATGAGTTGGCCAAGGGAGGAGGTATAGATGGAGAAGAGAAGGGGCCCGAGGACAGAGCCTTGAGGGACCCCAACAGAGAGGGGGAGTGAGGGGGAGGTGGTAGCATTATAGGTAACGCTGAAAGAGCGTTGTGACAGGTAGGATGAGATCCAGGAGAGAGCAGAATCTCTGAGGCCAAGGGAGTGTAGTTTTTTGAGGAGGAGGGGGTGGTCGACTGTGTCGAAGGCCGCAGAGAGGTCAAGGAGTAGGAGCACTGAATAGTGTCCATTAGCTTTGGCGGTTAGCAGGTCGTTGGAGAGTTTGAGTAAGGCAGTTTCGGTGGAGTGTAGGGGACGGAAGCCGGACTGTAGGGGATCGAGGAGGTTGTTGTCGTTGAGGTGAGAGCATAGGCGGGTGTAGACTAGGCGCTCGAGGAGTTTAGATGTAAATGGGAGCAGGGAGATGGGTCTGAGGTTGTTCGGGTCATTGGGGTCCAGGGAGGGCTTTTTAAGTATGGGGGTGATGTGTGCATGTTTCAGAGGGGAGGGGAAAGTGCCTGAGGAGAGGGAGAGATTGAAGATGTGGGTGAGGGAGCGTAGGATGGAGGAGGAGGAAGGTCGTAGGAGTTGTGAGGGGATAGGGTCGAGGGGGCAGGTGGTGAGGCGGGCATCAGAGAGGGTCTTGGAGACTTCCTCGATGGTAGTAAGGTCAAAGGTGTGGAGTGTTGGGGGAGCTTCAGTATGAGGAATGTAGGGTGGGGTGGAAGAGGAGGTCAGAGCAGTGGTGGGGCCGTGGGAGAGGGGTGATGAGGGGGTAGCTGAGTGAGGGTGAAGGGGGTTGGAGAGAGTTTGAGCAGCGACGAAGTCCCTGCGGGTTATGTCGAGGGGGAGGGGGGATAAGGGGGTAGCTGTGTGAGAGGGGACAGGTTGAGAGGGCATGTGAGTTGCGGCAATGTCCTTGCGAATTGTGTCAATCTTGTTTTTGAAGTGATTGGCAATCTCAAGGGCAGTGAGTGAGGTGCTGGGTGGAGGTGGGGGTGGCGAGAGTAGAGAGTTGAAGGCAGAGAAGAGTCGGCGAGGATTGGAGGAGAGGGCCTTGATGAGGGTCAAGAAGTAGGCCTGTTTGGCAGCATGGAGGGAGGAGGTGTAGGTGCGGAAGGCAGATTTGTAGCGGGTGAAGGCTTGTTTGGATTTGGTTTTGCGCCATAGTCGCTCCAGGGCACGACTTTGTCGTTTGAGGGTTTTGGTGTGATCAGTCTGCCAGGGCTGGAGCGGTCGGGGTCTGGTGTTGCGTGTGGTTAAAGGCGCTAGTGAGTCAAGGGCTGTTGAGGAAAATGAATGCAGCCATCACATCTAAGAATTGGTAAGCTGCAATAGATTAAATGTTTGTTTTTGGGTTTATTACCGCTTTGATACCTCTGACTGCAGCAGCAAAACAAATGAGGTCCCCTGCCCTGCCACATAGGGTTGGTACTGTGTGGCAGAGCTGTGTAAATCTCAGGAATGGATGGAAAATAATACAGATAAATATAAAACAGCTGTTTTATGTCTCAGATCCATGTATATGCCTGGAGTTCAGCTTTGATACATTGTACAAACATCCAATGAAACCACAAAACACCTCCGGAAATCTAAAGAGTAGAATCCACTTTAATGAATCGCCGAGACGCAGTGCATGCCGAACGCAATCCTTCCATAGACTTGACGTTTATATAGAAAGAAAACTACCGCGGCCACATCTCTCGAAGGAACAAAAGGCGTCTGGCGAGATCCTCTCACCGCCGAACAATCATCCACTTCCAGCACAAACGGCGCAATGAAATTCCGTTTTCAGGAACGGCTCGGATTTCACGCCGTGTGCGCGCCGACTACAATACGTTCGGCAGAACTCCGGCCCATTGTTGCCGATCGCTATTCTCTCGGTCAACAAAACGTGTTGAAAGGCCGATATCCTTCCTATAAAACGATTCCTCCGTACAGCGAATGTAACGCTTCGCCTCTAAATTGCTGCATCACAGCGCCACAACCTTCGTCCCGATGACCTTCGTCCCGCTGACCTTCTTCCCGCTGACCTTTGTCCCGCTGACCTTCGTCCCACTGACCTTCGTCCCGTTGACCTTCTTCCCGTTGAACCTTCGTCCTGCTGACCTTCTTCCCGCTGAACCCTCGTCCCGCTGACCTTCGTCCCGCTGACCTTCTTCCTGCTGATTTTCGTCCTGCTGACCTTCTTCTCGCTGACCTTCTTCCCGCTGAACCCTCATCCCCCTGAACCCTCGTCCCGCTGACCTTCGTCCCGCTGACTTTTTCTCACTGACCTTTGTCCTGCTGACCTTCATCCCGCTGACCTTCGTCCCGCTGACCTTCGTCCCGCTGACCTTCGTCCCGCTGACCTTCTTCCCGCTGAACCCTCATCCCGCTGAACCCTCGTCCCGCTGACCTTCATCCCGCTGACCTTCGTCCCGCTGACCTTTGTCCCGCTGACCTTCTTCCCGCTGAACCCTCATCCCGCTGAACCCTCGTCCCGCTGAACCCTCGTCCCGCTGACCTTCATCCCGCTGACCTTCATCCCGGTGACCTTCGTCCCGCTGACCTTCTTCCCGCTGACCTTCATCCCGCTGACCTTCGTCCCGCTGATTTTCGTCCTGCTGACCTTCTTCTCGCTGACCTTCTTCCCGCTGATTTTCGTCCCGCTGACCTTCATCCCGCTGACCTTCATCCCGCTGACCTTCTTGCCACTGACGCTAAAAATCATTTTTCCATAGAAATCACCGCATAAGCGTTAGTCGCCGAAGGCTGCCATAGATATTGCGGCGCTGACCACTGCGACTGGCGTTAGTAAAGAGACAGTCAGGCCCTGTTCACATCTGAGCGGGGCAGAAATGTGCGACATTTACAGAATATCATCTCCACACAAAATCTCCTCTTCCCCACTTCTATGCAAAATCGCCTCTCCCCCACTTCTATGCAAACATCACCTCTCCCCCACTTCTATGCAAAATCGCCTCTCCCCCACTTCTATGCAAAATCGCCTCTCCCCCACTCCCCTCCAGCTTCTAATGTCACTACTTCATGGGCTGCGAATGTGGAACGCATCGGCCTAAACTTGCATACGACCCTTTTGAGCCCCGGTTTACACCAACGCGGTGCTGGAAATGCAAGCGATCCCTGTGTGTTTCCTGTACCACATACCAACCGCACTTTGTTCATGCGATCTGCTGCGGTTGTCAACTAAAAGCAAACAACACCCCAAAAAGCAGGTCGCAAGGTTTCTATCTATGTGTTTGCCTGAGCCAGAACACCCCTGCGATCCGGTTCAAGTGCAAAAAAAAAAAGAAAAAGCTGCTTGCACCTTTTCCATGCGGATGCAGTGAGATCTGAGCCATTCAGAATTATGGGAGCAAATCGCACTGCACAGAATCGCATGTGATTTGCACTGGAGTGCGATGCGATGGGTGAGACGCAGCAGTCAAAACACAATGCGATTGGATCGCATCTCTGTGAAGCACCTCCATAGGAACGTATGTTGGCTCACCTGTCATGCGAATCTATGTCCGATGAAACGCATCACACATAAGTGTGAACCAGAGAAAAGGTTTTCAGGGGGATGATATGCTGTTGATGCGACTCTCCTCCCCCCTCCTCCAGTTATAGTGGCATACTATGGTTGGTGCTGCTGCACTATGGATCGATTTTTCTCTATACGGCCGATCATCTGCTAATTGCCGGTTCAAGTTCAAACAGAACGCTTTTGGTGGAACCACTGCACCCAGCAGGGCTCATTAGACTTGGATAGAGGGTGTAAGGCTCGGTTCACACCGCCGCGACTTGGGATCCCACTTTTGAGACCCCCCAAGTTGCATGACATGTGAAATCCCATGTTAGTCAATGGGAGCTGTCTTAGCACTACAGAAGTCGCTCCAACTTTAGAAAAGGTTCCTCTGCTACTTCGAGGCGACTTCTATCCGACTTGTGTCCATCGACTTTAATGGAAGTCGCCTCCAAGTCGGATCCTCACCTATATTGATGTGATTTGGATCTGACATGACAGGAAGATTACCCAGCATTCCCTGAAAGCTGCTTCAGAGTCGCTTTAAAGTAGTACTCAGGTTGCCTGGCAAAGTCGCACTGTAAGTCATGCGCCTTTCAGGTCGCAGTAATGTGACCAATACAGCATGATGATACAGTTCAATACAAGAGGGATAGGAGGGCCCTGCTCCTGGGAGCTTACAATCTAAGAGGGAGGGGTGGTGGTACAAAAGGTGATTACGGTGGGGGATGGACTGATGGGAGAAACATAAGATTCCCTTATTAGCTGAGGGCAGGATAGACTTCCCTGAATAGATCAGTTTTCAGAGATCGCCTAAAAGTGGGCAGAGTAGGTGATAGTCTGATAGATTGGGGTAGAGAGTTCCAGAGGATGGGAGAAGCTCTAGAGAAGTCCTGGAGATGAGCATGGGAGGAGGAGACAAGGAGAGATCAGGAGGTCCTGTGAGATGTGGAGAGTACGGTTTGGGTGATATTTGGAGACAAGATCGGTGATGTAATTTGGGGCAGAGTTATAAATGGGTTTATATTATTGTTAATGTTTTGAATATTCTTCATTGGGCAATGGGAAGCCAGTGGAGGGATTGTTAGAGAGAGGTGGAGGACACTGAATGGAGGCCAGTGGAAGGATTGGGTGGAGAGGGATGGAGGACACAGAGTGGAGGCCAGTGGAGAGATTGGCAGAGAGGGGTGGAGGACACCGAGTAGAGGCCAGTGGAGGGATTGGCAGAGAGGGGTGGAGGACACCGAGTGGAGGCCCGTGGAGGGATTGGTGGAGAGGGGTGGAGGATGCTGTGTGGAGGGATTGGCAGAGAGGGATGGAGGACACTGAGTGGAGGACAGTGGAGGGATTGGCAGAAAGGGGTGGAGGGCACTGACTGAAAGCCAGTGGAGGGATTGGCAGAGAGAGGTGGAGGACACTGAATGTCCAGTGGAGGGATTGGCAGAGAGTGGTGGAGGACACTGAATGGTGGCCAGTGGAGGGATTGGCTGAGAGAGGTGAAGGACACCGAGTGGAGGCCAGTGGAGGGATTGGCAGAGAGGGGTGGAGGACACTGTATGGCCAGTGGAGGGATTGATGGAGAGGGATGGAGGACACTGAATGGAGGCCAGTGGAGGGATTGGCAGAGAGGGGTGGAGGACACTGAATGGTGGCCAGTGGAGGGTTTGGCAGAGAGGGGTGGAGGACACTGAATGGTGGCCAGTGGAGGGTTTGGCAGAGAGGGGTGGAGGACACTGAATGGTGGCCAGTGGAGGGATTGGCAGAGAGGGGTGGAGGACACTGAGTGGAGGCCAGTGGAGGGATTGGCAGAGAGGGGTGGAGGACACTGAGTGGAGGCCAGTGGAGGGATTGGCAGAGAGGGGTGGCACATACAGAGTTAGTAAGGTGGATGAGTCTGGCAGCAACATTCATGATAGACTGAAGAGGGGATAGCCTGCGATGAGGTCGGCCAATGAGGAGGGAGATACAATAGTCAAGATGGAGATGTTGTGGAGGTGACATCTCTGCAGTAAAGCGCTGAGCACACTGCTGGCGCTGTATAAATCCTGTATAATAAAAATGATGATGTACTAATGAATGGAGAAGTGTATGATTTGGTGTCTTTTATATCTGCCTGGAGTTCCGCTTTAGCCGCAGTAAATCTTTAAAAACAAATCGAAATGTCTTTATAAATACACGAGGTAAACATGTCAAAAAAAAAAGAATGATTATTCTATCAGCGCTGTTGTTGCCGGAATATTTAACAAAAAAAAAACGTGTTTCTAATTTGTATCCGTTAGATGCCGTGACAGACAGCATGGTGCCCGGGGGGCTTCCTTAGGCGCTCCCATACTCTGCCTTGGGAGATATCCATTCCTGCCTATATTGCTTTTTCTCTTTTCCATTTTAAATACCTCGTTCAACAAAGCCACGCTTCTATCCGAAATAAAGACATCTTTTCTTCCGGCGGCCCTCATACAGCCGGGAGGACGCGGAGTGCATTAGACCTCGCAGCATCTGGTGGCAGTAAATGGCAGAGTGTTTTCCGACAAGGATCTGTTGGGTAGCAGCTCAGTCATTCTCTTTCATCTAGGTCATAGACGTGGACCCGGATCCCGACGATCAGATTTCTCTTTGACGTTGTTGTCCTTGATGCGCCCAAAATATACAACAGTTACCCTGTTCCAGCTTTTCTCAACCTCTTTACCCTACAGGAACCTTTAAAGTAAGTTTTGAGTCTCAGGGAACAACTTCTAAAATCGGGTCATTGGGAAAATGCTCTTATGGACAGTGGGAAAAAATTCAGCCCCTACAGTGATGGTGAGAATGCCACCCTTACAGAAAGGTACATAGGTCATTGGTCCCACACTGCTGACTGTTGGACCTGGAACTATGGTGGCACCATCAAATAGGAGGTCAATCAGTCAAGGCACCCCTAACAACCTCTTGAGAAACCCTATGATTCCATGGAACCCTGGTTGAGAGTGACTGCTCTGTTCAGTCATTCTTGTGTTTCCCAGTGGAGGTGAGTGGAGAAGTGCCACACTTTTCTTTCAGATAAGTGACTACCAACACCAAGGATCAATGATGTCCAAAGTAACTTATTTCAGAAATGAGAGGAAAGGCTCCAGCGACCCAATGAAAATGATTTTGGAACTCTATAGGTATCAGCAGGCAGAAGGTCAATCTGCCAAAGTTCAATGAACCCCTAACAACCTCTGGAGGAGCCCTAGGGAGCCATAGGACCCTGGTTAAGAATGTAGCCAATCAAAATTGGATTATCCCCTTAGGTTGGGGGTGGCTCCATGCCACTGACTCTGCCAAGTGATGTAACTATGCAGGTACTGGCAAGGTAGGAGATCAAACCGCCACTTATAGCTGCTCCAGGAACCTCTGGCAACCTTGAAAGGGGCTATAGGGTTCCTAGTTGAGAAAGGATGCTCAAGACATTCTGGGCCAGCCATTCATCAACCAAGTTTCATGGAACCCTATGGTTCCTCAAGAGGTTGTTTGGGGTTCCTTCAGCTGTGGTTGACTGACCTTCCATCTGATATGACTCTATAGTTCCAGGACAATTGCCAATTGGCAGAGCTAAGTGAATGACACCAATTATCATGTTATTCAATAAGCTGTCTGTAAAGGGCATCCTTCTCTTATCATCAAGGTAAGGGGACACTCTTCCCCCTGACTTCTGATTTCGTGTAACCCTACGGTTCCTCAAGAAGTTGTTTGGGGTTCCCTCAGCTGTGGTTGATTAACCTCCCATCTGTTGGTGACTGTATTGTTCCAGGACCAATGCCACTTGGCAGAGCTTACAGAATGACACCAATGATCTTGGGGTACTTCAGCAAGCTGTCTGTAAGGGGTATCCCTCCCTTATCAATGTAATGGGAACTCTTCCAACTGACTCCCGATAAATTAATTTTATCAGGGGTTCCCTGATAAAATAAATATTTCAAGGGTTCCTCTGGGGTGAAAAAGTTGAGAAAGGTTACCCTAGGCCGAAATAACACATCCTGCTGTGGCCATCCACCCCAGCTAGGGTGCAAAATTAGCGCCTGCCACACACGCTTGAAATGGCAGATTTTTAATGCACAGGTATCTGCATACCGATGTTGGGTTTCAGAGTTTATTATCCGTAAATGAAAATATCATTCTGTGCAAGTCATCAAAAGATTCTCAACGCATTTTACATCAAGGTTCTTAGCCATAAAACTCAAAGCCCTTGGAGCTCGTCTAGGCTGTGCAGTAACCAGAATGTGGAAAAAATTCCAATGAAGATGAAAACAAAAGAGATTCAAACACAGAACACGATAGTGCAGCATTCTCAAATAATCAAACAGAAAACTTTCCTTTTACACTTGTCTTTCCATGAAAGGAATCGGTAATCTGACAGGCTGCAGATGCTCAGAGTTGAGCAACCAAGGTGGAGAATATGACTGTCACTCTACAGACCATCAGAACCATTGGTGGGTTGCTGTTTATGGTTGGCAGAAGATACCTGAGGAGGTGACCATAAAACTGGCAGTGAAATAGCTTACTGAGGTTAGTAACCTAAACGAAACAAGGCCAAGGGACCCTAGGTGGACATTTTGAGGATGACAGTTGAGAAGACCACCTCTGAATTTGGTAGATAATGTGATACCTACATCTTGGATAGATCACCACATTGCTGAGGCGTAGTGAACCCATACAGGCTAGGCTGGTCTGTAGTGAATGAGTAGTCTTCATTAAATATTTAAGCAGTAGGTGGGGAAGCCATGAAACAGGTAGTAAGCATCCCATAGTTCTTGAGGTATTGTTAGCATTTCAAGGGAAGAACCCTTTAAATAATGTTCAGGTCTCGGGGAACCCCCACTAACAAGAGTTTTGTATACAAATCTTTGTATGCTGGCCACACCACATTGGTGGTCAACAAGAGCTGGTAGTTAGTGGAAAGAATTATCTTTACATTGGTGGTCAGTGGGAAGAATGTTCCTTAAATTGGTGATCAGTGGGAAGAATGTCCCTTACATTGGGGGTCAGTGGGAAGAATGCTCCTTACATTGGGGGTCAGTGGGAAGAATGTCCCTTACATTGGGGGTCAGTGGGAAGAATGTCCCTTACATTGGGGGTCAGTGGGAAGAATGTCCCTTACATTGGGGGTCAGTGGGAAGAATGCTCCTTACATTGGGGGTCAGTGGGAAGAATGTTCCTTACATTGGGGGTCAGTGGGAAGAATGCCCCTTACATTGGGGATCAGTGGGAAGAATGTCCCTTACATTGGTGATCAGTGGGAAGAATGCTCCTTACATTGGGGGTCAGTGGGAAGAATGTCCCTTAAATTGGTGGTCAGTGGGAAGAATGTCCCTTACATTGGGGGTCAGTGGGAAGAATGTCCCTTACATTGGTGGTCAGTGGGAAGAATGTTCCTTACATTAGGGGTCAGTGGGAAGAATGTCCCTTACATTGGGGGTCAGTGGGAAGAATGTCCCTTACATTGGTGGTCAGTGGGAAGAATGTCCCTTACATTGGTGGTCAGTGGGAAGAATGTCCCTTACATTGGTGGTCAGTGGGAAGAATGTCCCTTACATTGGGGGTTAGTGGGAAGAATGTCCCTTACATTGGTGGTCAGTGGGAAGAATGTCCCTTAAATTGGGGGTCAGTGGGAAGAATGTTCCTTACATTGGTGATCAGTGGGAAGAATATCCCTTACATTGGTGATCAGTGGGAAGAATGTCCCTTACATTGGGGGTCAGTGGGTAGAATGTGCCTTACATTGGGGGTCAGTGGGTAGAATGCTCCTTACATTGGTGGTCAGTGGGTAAAATGCTCCTTATATTGGTAGCCAATGGGTAGAATGTGCCTTACATTGGGGGTCGGTGAGAAGAATGTCCTTTACATTGGGGGTCAGTGGGAAGAATGTCCCTTACATTGGAGGTCAATGGGTAGAATGTGCCTTACATTGGTGGTCAATTGGAAGAATGCCCCTTACATTGGTGATCAGTGGAAAGAATGCTCCTTAAAATTGAAGGTCAGCTAAAAGAATGCCCACCTTTACAGGCAGCTAACATGATCATTGGTGTCACTGGTTACTGACCTGGGAAATAAGAAGTGACGGTCCACTGTTCCCATGCCGCTGGGTCAGCAAACTTTGTAGGTACCATTAGGTGGATGTTTAATCCACTACAGCTCCAGGAACCCCCTTGCCACTCCTGGAGGAACACTATCATTCTATGGAACCTTGGTTGAGAAAGGTTTATCTATAGATACAATTGAGATTGAGGAAGCCACTTGGATGAGCAGTGAAACATCTCAGAACGTGACTATTACTTGCTATACCGTACCCCGGATAAATAAAAGCCCTCACAGATGTTATCTATAGACCTCCATCTGGTCTTCTTGTCTAGTGTTGCCCTCCGCCTGGTACCTATTGGGTCACTGTCCCAGTTTGTCCAATAACCACACGAGAGGGCCCCAGACACCAATCCAGGATGTAGATTGGGTTTATATAAAAGCCAGTTAAAGCTGCCAGATCAGGGAATAAGTAAACCCGAGCGGCTGCCACCGGGTAATTGACTGATTACACTTTACATAAAGCAGACGTGACCATTATCTCCTGTCGGTAACTGCAACGAGTTCCCAGACCTTGATGTTACGGTTTTCATCTGCCACTGAATTAGTCATGTCCTTAATTCTAATCTTATGTCTTTCGCTATTGTTAAGTGATGTTTTCCCCGTGGCTCACCTAAGATGCATCTGCCGTCTCCTACACCTGAAGGACGGTTTCTATAGAGACACGGAGCTTCTCCTTGCCAACACGCATTGTTTATATCACTGTTCTGCCATTTGTGTTTCTTCACCGAAGAGGTCTAAGCGTCAGCCAAGAAACTTAGATGGCAACAAAAAGTACAAACTAGCCAAACAACTTTAATTGGCGGAACATTTCAATGTTTTTTTTTAACAAAAGCGCAAAGATGACAAAATTGTTCCTGACTGTAATCCAGATTGTGTTCCCTTTATTTCTCCCGTTATGACTCCTCGGAGGGAAAGACTTTCTATATGGAGACTAGCCTTGTGGCCTGCGGTGCCACGGCAGAAAACGTTTATGTTAACAACCGATGGCGTGGCGTTGGCAGTTGCTCGGGGTGCAAAATTCTTCAAGGTAAAAAAAAAATCATACCTTTCAACCATCCCGGATTTTATGGGACATTCCCTGGATTTTAACAAAATCCTGGCATCCCGCGGATTCAGGCTGAGGCTGGAACAAGTTCTGGCACCTGGGTCCACAAATTCACTTGGCAGTGAGGCACCAGCGCCGGACACCGAGGACACCAGGGCCGCATCTCCTGCGAGATTACCTGGGTCCAGGGGCGGACTGACCATTTGGAAACTCGGGCACTGCCCGAGGGCCCAGGGTCAGTAGAGGGCCCCATGAGATGCCCCTGGTACCTTTTTCATAGGCTTTTTTGAGTTTGGGCAAGGACACAGGGGCCCCATGATCCCCTATTGCCCGGGGGCCCCATGAGTTGTCAGTCCGCCCCTGCCTGGGTCTCTAGTGTTGCTATCTCCCCTTCTGCACTTCCTTTAGCCTGGCTGCCTGTAACATCATGCAATAAATCATGCGATATATATCAGGTGATATACATCATGCACAAGATGAGGAGGAGGAGGAGGAGGTGCCAGGAGGAGGGGTGACCCCGGTATTGAGCCACACTGATCTGAGGTCTGATTCAGGGAGCGAAAATGGCACTGGGAGGGAGGGGCATAAGACCTAGAGGGAGTGGGCTTGGGGTGGGGGATATGTTAAAGACTGCTCCTGGGGTGGATTTATACTGGCAGGAGTGATAGGGAGTGGGAGGCTGGTACGGAGATTTGTGCTGGGGGTGACCTGGGAGGGGAGAGGATTGGAATGGGGGAGGATTTGTGTTAGAAGGGGAGAGAGCAGTTGCGGTTGGGGGTGGAGGGGGCAGATATGTACTGAAAGGGGGGATTTGGGTGGGAAATTTGTGCATAGAGGAGGGATTTGTGCTAGAAGGGAGGAAAGGATTTGCGGTGGGAGGGTGGATGTGTGTTGGAAGTGAGGAGAGGATTTGTGGTGGGAGGGGGTATTTGTGCTTGAAGAGGGAAAGGATTTGTGGTGGGAGGGTGGATATGTGCTGGAAGGTGTGAGAGGTTTTGAGGTGGGAGGGTGGATATGTGCTGGAAGGTGTGAGAGGATTTGCGGTGGGAGGGGGGATATGTGCTGGAAGGTGTGAGAGGATTTGTGGTGAGAGGGTGGATATGTGCTGGATGGTGTGAGAGGATTTGTGGTGGGAGGGTTGACATGTGCTGGAAGGGGGAGAGGATTTGAAGTGGGAGGGTTGATATGTGCTGGAAGGGGGGAATTTGGTGCGAGGATTTGTACAGGAAGGGACTTGTGCTAGAAGGGGGAGAGTATCTGTAGTGAAAGGTGAATACTGTATGTGCTGGAAGGGGGGAGAGGATTTGAGGTGGGAGGGTGGATATGTGCTGGAAGGGGGGGGGGGAATTTGTGGTGAGAGGGTGGATATGTGCTGGAAGAGGGGAGAGGATTTGTGGAGGGGAGGGTGGACATGTGCTGGAAGGGGGGATTGGGGGGGGGATTTGTACAGGAAGGGGGAGATTTGTGCTAGAAGGGGGAGAGGACTGAAACGTGGATGTGCTGGAAGTGGGAAGAGGATTTGTGGTGGGAGGGTGGATATGTGCTGGAAAGGGGGAGAGGATTTGAGGTGGGAGGAATGATATGTGCTGGAAGGAGGTGAGTATTTGTGGTGGGAGGGTGGATATGTGCTGGAAGGGGGGAGAGGGTATGCGTTGGGAGGGTGGATATGTGCTGGAGGGGGGGGGGGGAGAGGATTTGAGGTAGGGGGGTGGATATGTGCTGGAAGGGGGGATTGGGGGGGGATTTGTACAGGAAGGGGGGATTTGTGCTAGAAGGGGGAGAGGACTGAAAGGTGGATGTGCTGGAAGAATTGAGCAAGAATCTTTGGTTTTGGAGTGTCATAGCAAACCTTAATACAGCATCGGATTGTAACACAGAATACAGAGGCAGAAACGTGACAGTTTGTTGGCGTATGCAATGAATACAGGGAACAATCTGACAGAAGGCAACCTTGACCGTTTAATAACTTCAATGCAACAATTGCTAAGGGAGCAGCATTACAAGGGATTGTTCGGAAGAATGTGAATGCATCGCGATACGTCTGGATATCTAGTCTGGCTTCAATGCTGGTGCCTTTGCCACTGAATGAGCTGAATGTACACAGTACAAGCTGATTCCCAGGCAGACCGCTTCATACACAGTTGGATTTCCTATACGGGAGCCGGTTGGCAATGCTGTCCAACCAATTCTGAGTTTCATCACGTAACTCTGCAGGGAAGCTCACTACAGACTGGTGACCTGATTGGGATTGGTCGGTGAAGACAGAGATGAGCTCATCACAGTGTTGCTTCTCCTTTCAATGTCCACTCACAGACTGAGGGCGGATCTGTGACAGTCCGGGCTCAGAGGAAGTAAAATAAAACAGAAGCTTTTGCAGCCATCCATACTCACCTTCAGTCTAGTGCTGCCCCATGAAGTACTTTGTGGTGGGAGGGTGAATATGCACTGGAAGGGGGGACAGGATTTGAAGTGGGAGGGTAGATATGTGCTGGAAGGGGGGACAGGATTTGAGGTGGGAGGGTGGATATGTGCTGGAGGGGGGGAAGAGGATTTGAGCTGGGAGGGTGGATATGTGCTGGAGGGGGGAAGAGGATTTGAGCTGGGAGGGTGGATATGTTCTGGAAGGGGGGGGAGTGGATTTGAGGTGGGAGGATGGATATGTGCTGGAGGGGGGAGAGGATTTGAGGTGGGAGGATGGATATGTGCTGGGAAGGGGGGGAGAGGATTTGTGGTGGGTGAGTGGATATGTGCTGGAGGGGGGAGAGGATTTGAGGTAGGAGGGTGGATATGTGCTGGAAAGGGGAGAGGATTTGAGGTGGGAGGGTGGATATGTGCTGGAGGGGGGAGAGGATTTGAGGTGGGAGGGTGGATATGTGCTGGAGGGGGGAGAGGATTTGAGGTGGGAGGGTGGATATGTGCTGGAAGGGGGGAGAGAGGATTTGAGGTGGGAGGGTGGATATGTGCTGGAAGGGGGGGGGGAGGATTTGAGGTGGGAGGGTGGATATGTGCTGGAGGGGGGAGAGGATTTGAGGTGGGAGGGTGGATATGTGCTGGGAAGGGGGGAGAGGATTTTGTGGTAGGAGAGTGGATATGTGCTGGAGGGGGGAGAGGATTTGAGGTAGGAGGGTGGATATGTGCTGGAAGGGGGGGGAGGATTTGAGGTAGGAGGGTGGATATGTGCTGGAAGGGGGGGGGAGGATTTGAGGTAGGAGGGTGGATATGTGCTGGAAGGGGGGGAAAGGATTTGAGGTGGGAGGGGGATGTGTGCTGGAAGGAGGGAGAGGATTTGCTGTGGGAGGGTGGATATATGCTGGAGGGAGGAGACGATCTGCAGTGGGAGGATGGATATGTGCTGGAAGGGGGGAGAGGATCTGTGGTGGGAGGGTGGATATATGCTGGAGGGGGGAGAGGATTTGAGGTAGGAGGGGGAGAGGATTTGTGGTGGGAGGGTGGATATGTGCTGGAGGGGGGAGAGGATTTGTGGTGGGAGGGTGGATATGTGCTGGAGGGGGGAGAGGATTTGCGGTGGGAGGGTGGATATGTGCTGGAAGGGGGGGGAGAGGATTTGCGGTGGGAGGGTGGATATGTGCTAGAAGGGGGAGAGGATTTGCAGTGGGAGGGTGGATATGTGCTGGAAGGGGGGAGAGGATTTGAGGTGGGAGGGGGGAT